AACCGGATTTCTTACCATTTTACTCATCTCTACATCTTCATTTGCCTCGCAAGTCTCTGAACATCTTGGAGCACATCTCTTTCTTTTTGTCCAAGCTGTCTTTGTAGCATCTGAAACATGAAAACCATTTATGCACATGAATATCTTCAGACCGTTCTGTCTTGACTCGCACGAAACGTTTTGAATATGTCAGCGGAGGTTCATCTTACATAGCCACTTTCCTCAGCAGGTTGTTAATGTCACTGTCAAAGGGCTTCTTTGCTTGAGCAGTTATGAGGCAACCCTGGGCACTCTCATACTCATGCAGCTCCAGATACGCCTGACAGAGATGACATCAGTCTGCATAATGGACTAATTGTTATCTAGAGTGTAAGCATATTAGCAACATAGGGACCCTGGAGTTGAAGGAAAGGCTGTCCGAGTATTCAAAAGTGATAAAGATGTTGTTCAGTCATCATAACAAACTTAATAAAACTCTCCAAGGACTGAACATCTCTTGCGTGTGATCCTGCTTATGCTTCTTAGGCAACGTTTTGTACAGAAAGAAAACATTTAACATTCCTTCACCGCGGATTTTTAGCTGATGGTTTAGAAAAGGAACAAACAAGAGCCCCCCCTTTGTCTGACCTGTCCACAGCGGAAAAGAGCCTTTGTGTTGGTGGAGTCTATCTCCAGGGCTTTGTTGCCATATTTCAGGGCTTTGTGTGGGCTCTCCAAACGGAGCTCAGTGAGAGAAAGGTTCAGATAGAGAGGAAGCCGTGCTGTCTTGATCCTCTCCTTCTCTGCATCGCACTGTGTTTCCCTGTTCCCCAGCACCATCAATGCCTGAAGGCCAAGCACAGAACCCATTACAAAACACATTTTAATCTTCACCAGTGCGCATATTCACAGCGGCATGGCACCTCATTGGCAAATAAAATTAAATGTAAAGGCATATAAAGGCTTCCTTGACACTTTAAGACCGACCTGTTTATAGCGGTCTTTGGCATTGTCATAACGGCTCTGGTTGAAGCAGCGGTTGCCAAAGCTGCGTACTGTGTTGACCACTTCAAGAAGCGTGGAGAGAGGAACAGTGTTCTGCTCCTCCTGAAGGCAGAGAAGTTAAAAATGGATGCAAAATAGCCAGCAATACAAACCGATTTTTTTTTTTTACCTCTTTCTGCCTTATGTTGGCTATTAACAAAATTGTATTTTAAAAAGGAGCGATACGTATATTGCCAAATAATTATATTTGGCTGTGGCTTCTGGCAGTAAAAATAGTCTCCACAGCTGCACAAATGCATGCATATGTGAATGAAAATATAAACAAATCTACTGCTAGTTGCATGACATTAGCACTGATTTGATGTGGAAGAAGTACTTCTCAGTACTCTCAGACTGTGACAACAGGACACCTGAAGCCTCCCTACCGGACTCAGCGCGATAAAGTCGTCCACTTGTCCTGAGTCAAGGAAATCGAGGATCTGGACCTCATACAGAACCACAGCAGCAGCAGGAATGATGGGAGGACATCCCAGCTCTCCGTATGCATACTGGGGCTGGAAGAGGAAGCGAGAGAACTCTCCTTTCTGCATGGTCAACAGACCCAGCTCTAGTCCGCACAGTGTCACATCTGTTTGAACGATCACATGGTTCTCCTGTGGGCCACCATCTTTATAGGGCTAATAGGCAAATTACTGTTGTATCTGCACAAACAACTACTGACCTCTCCCTAACTTCATCATCCGCGGGTACTTGAGGTTTGTGGTAGTTTCAAAAGGCTGATTAGAATATTCCAGGAAAGCAGAGTAATTGACTGGAGGAGGAAAGAGAATAAGGAGGAGGTTATGGCAGAACAAAATCATCTGCAAAATAATAACTGCATCAGGAGTTCAATTGTAAATACTCAATACTGAAGCATTTTGAGGGACAGGTGGGCCTTCTCCAGGTTGGACCACCTCTTTCAGGATCCCTCCATCTCCCAAGATATCGTTCATCTGCTGGCTAAGCTGCTCAAACGGACTCTAAAAATGGCAAGAAATAAGCCTTGAAAGAAACTCCAGTGTTTTCCTGATCATTTCAAATGTGTGTGTAAAATCACGTGTATGCACTACCCACTGCATCATTAGTGTTGTTTCGTCATAACTGGTGTTACCTTTAGTTATTATCAGTGTTGATTCAACTTTATGTCCAGAGGAAAGTTAGAAAACATTTGAGAAGCTTTGAAACGGAAACTGCTATGATGCAATCTGATAAATAAAACCGGCATGACCATGCTTTTATAAGCCTCACTTAAATCAAATGGAGACTGACAGTACGGCTCATTTATTAGCTGATTTAAATTAGGAGTAACGTTAATAACTTCAAATGAACTGACAGGGCAGGAGTAATGTGAATTTTTAAACGCGGCTATCACAAATGTCGCTTTAACACGGTCATAAAGATAAACATCACCTAACTAGCACTTAGCTAGTTAGCTGACGTAGCCACGCTGAGCCCCTTCAACATGTTAACTCACCGGAGTCCTCGGCCGCTCCTCGGGGTTTATTAGCCGCCGGAGACTGGATATTAACCCGTTTCCTGACATCGAATTGGCGGTAAATGCGGGTTTCTTGTAGTGTAGTTAAACAAGTAGCTTAACTGACAGTAAAAGTAGGTCCTAGCCTTGTTTTGGCGCTCAGGTTTGGGTCAGTCAATTGAGAGTCAGGTGACCTTCATAAGAAATGAGACTCAAATGTGGGCAGCCCGGAGGTCCAAAAAGTACAGTGTGTGTCCAATGACTACTGCTACTCAGCGGTGGGTAGTAACTCAAATGAGTAAAAAAAAAAAAAGTAGTAGTAAGAACGATAACTTTTCATGTTCCTTAAATGGTACTTTGACTCTTTATGCAAGGTTTTTGGGCGGTTAGTCTAATACTTAACCAATAACTTCGCTACATTTTCCATTTATAACTTCTTATCTTTTTTTTTTTTTACAACTACTGCGATAACTAGGCTACTTTGCATTTTGCTACATTAACTGAAATGACCTGCCATCCAAGCTGTGTGAAACGCTGGAGAGCTTGAACCGCTGGCTGCACAGATGAGCTGTGCAGATGAAAAAGTTCAGCAAATCGGGCAAGTACCTTTTCACTTTAAGGTTTGGTTGTTCTATTTATGTAAGTCAAATCCAGTAACTGCGGCCTGTGCCACTGGTGACCGTGCCTGCATCGCCCTTTCACAAAGAGACAGCAAGATGGCGCCGCAGACGGCTGCCTCGGGATTACGCTCCTTAGTGCTTTTTGTGTTTTTGTTAATTAACGCTGTTTTCTGCCATCCCTCTCTGGTAACTTTTACCAGAGAAGAGCTCTTAAACATTGGATAAACTGCTCATACTATTCCACTGCTCTTTCACTATGCTCTATCACACTGTGTACATGTATGCATGTATGTGTATGTGTACCTGTATATCATATCCACCTTCAGCATGTACATAATGAGAATAGTTTACTCTTGCATCCTTTGCACTCTGATCACTATTTGTCAATATGTCTATATTGTTTTGTGAATAAGGTGTATATTAGTGTTGTCTATTTTGTAGTTTGTGTCTGATTTTATTATTATTTTATTATTGTGTTATGGTATTATTGTATAAGTAAGCACATTGTGAGCAATGTACAATCCTGAGTCAAATTCCTCGTATGTGTACACATACCTGGCAATAAAACTGATTCTGATTCTGATTCATTAATGGCGCCTATTTATTCTACACAGAACAGATCCTCTCGTTGCGCGGAGCATGGCTTTCTTTTCACAGAAATTATCTCTTTTCTCTTGCACACTTCTCATAGGTTGTTACATGTTTAGAGCGATGTCTGCTGATCTTGGCTTTCACTCAGCAGGCTACCAGCTGTTATTTATTTAGGAAACAACCATTTGAGAAGAAGGGAGAGAGTGGGTGGACAATACACTCCTGTTGTGTTTTACACCTGACGCAAAGGTCTATACACAGGCTTGATTATACAGTATGCTGCTGCCCTGTTATTGCCACCATAATACTTTACGTTATAATATTATGTTCATAGATGCTATTGTAGAAGACAAATCACATGCTGGTCATTCATATCAAAGCAGGTGGTTTGGTTGGTCCATATCGAGAAAACAGATACAGGCAACAACAGTAGGCTATACAGCAAGCATGATATTTTAAAGTGATCTTATCGATATCTTCATGTAAATTAATAAATAAAATAATAATTGTATTAAACAGAAATAGCTAGCTATAGACAATCAACATGCAAAGCAAAGAACATTACCTAGTAAATAACCAATTTGCACTGTAGAGCATGATTAGTTGTCAACTAATCGCCAACTATTTTAATAAGTAATTAATCAGAAAAATGTTCTGATTCCAGACTCTTTAATGTGAATACTTCCTGGTTACTCCTCTATGACAGTAAACTGAATATATTTCGGATGTGGACAAAACAAAGCATTTGAGGACATTATCTTGAGCTTTGGGAAACATTTCCACAATTTTCTGACATTTTATAGACCAAGCAATTAATCGAGAAACAGTTTCTAACCTGATGCACAGCAAATGAAGCATGTGACTTGTGAAGATATCTGTCCTGCACACAGTAAACATGTATTAACTGTTCTGGCCCCAAATTCTTCTTTTGATGTAAGTTATCCAATAACTCCAATAAGTTATTAATAAAAAATAAGCGGGAGGAAAGAAAAATACAAGAAAGCATGTTGATATTAAGAGAAAACAGTTGTTGTCATGCAAAGTAAACTTTGGAGTTACTGATATGAAAAACTGGGCCTAAAAGGAGGGTCAGCCCTGTCTTTTTTTTAAGCGAGGTCTCAAAACATTGTTTTTCCTTTTGAATCACTATTATACAGCATATGTTTCTTTGTGTTGTTTCTCTGGACAGTGGAGACCAGTACTATGGGTTTGTCTTTGTGACTCAGGCAGAGTGTCACTTTGGTTCTTGTAGTTTCAATCAGGGAGTCAACATGCATGCAGACAAAAAATCATTTTGCTTTAAGTATTTAATGTAAATCCAGTTTGAACTTATATACAAACTCTGCATTAAAATCATTATGTATTTGTGGCATCAATCACGGCTCATCATGAAGATTGTCTTCTGCAAGCACAATTTTGTTTCATTTTGCTGTCCAAATACACTCTGAAAGTCTGGTATTTGACACATGAAAATATAACATTAACACTACAACAGAAACATTGCCCACTTAACCCACCATGCAAAATGCAATTTCTATTTTTAGCTGGTCATATTTAACAGCTTGACAGCCAGTCTTTTGCAGAATGCTACTGGTGTCATCTTTTTTATTTCCTTTACCCTTTTGTGTGGAGTTTGTGAAGAAACTATACAAAATAACATTTAAACCGTACAGAATATGTTTTTAAAAACACAGTTGTTAAATAGACAAAGTAGGCCCATTTGTACAAGGAGAGATCTGACTGTTGACTAATCAACACAGTTATCTTGTAGAGAAAGTGTTTTTATATATATATATAAATCTATACAGTATATTCTGTAAATGCTCCTACCAATGTTAACATGAACCTAGCAGTACAATATTTGACAAGTGAACCCATTGGCATGTATCTGGATCTGAGGTTAAAGAGTAAGCCAGTTAAAAGCTTTCCTCATTATGTTCATTAGAAGTTCTGTAGATCAGCTGGATAGACAAAGTTGCTTCTAAAGAGTTTATAGGCCAGGAGCTGTCCTCCAAAGATCATCATGACCAGGCCTGAACCTGCAGAGAGAGGGATTAAACAAATAAGAAAAGTAAATAAATGAAAGGAAGGGTTGGAGGCTAGCAGCTGTCCTTAAAAAGCTTGAAAATGAAGGGATGCAGGAAGTGAGTAATAGTGAGTCTGGGGACAGGCAAATGTAATGTCTTGGCCAGAGAGAGAGAACGAGACGGAGAAACATAGAGAGTGGAGTTCTCATGTTTTGCAAATGGGAGAAACATAGGGATACACATGGAGGGGTACAGAGAAAGATGGACAGGAAGAAAAGAAGAAATATTACCCAGAGCTATCCACCAGTGCTCAGCTGAAGGGAAGTCTGACATCACTGCAGAAACATGGAAACTGTGTGTGAAATGTAAAAACTACCTGTACACAAAACATACTGCAAATACTACACTTCATTTACAAGTGAAAGATGTAGAGAAAAGGATGCAAGTTTAATGTTGTTTCAATTTGGTAAATATGTGAATTAAAATTGCACACAAATAGATGGTGCCTGTGTGTGTGTGTGTGTGTGTGTGTGTGTGTGTGTGTCTGTCTGTCTGTCTGTCTGTCTGTCTATACAGCTCCATCAACTACAGCCACTGTATCCAATTACATAAACAGGCCTCCAATCCTATCAGATGTTCCGCTCTAATGATCCACTTTGTGTGTGTGTGTGTGTGTGAGTGTGTGTGCGTGTGTGTTTACCTACTACAGTGATCGCAACATGCAGCAGTGTGACAGTTATGGCGTAATCCCAAACCCACTCCTCTACAATCCAGGCGAATACCAGCCCTCCCAAAACATAGGTCAATTCTGTGGAAATTACACCAACTGGAGGGAGGAAGAGAGAAACAACTGCTTCATATATGCTGCTTCATCTTTTTATTTTCTAAAATACTTTTCAATCACACACACAGTTGTTATATCATATCTAATTGTACGGTAAAGCAGAAAGCAACAGAGATTACACACAATAACTACTGTTTGACAGAATAGAAGGTTTTATTAATGTTTCCATCCATATGAGGACATCTGATCTTCAAGTATGCAAATAACACTTTTTAATCACTGTTTCTTTCTTATTCATCCAGACATTTTGACTTGTCACAGTAGTAAAAAGGCACAGGTGTTATTATTGAACATGTGGTATTAACAAAGGCTTTGTTCTATTCAAGTGTTGTTGTAAGCCGTGACAGTGAGCCACTATGCACGATGCCAGGACCCTGAAACTGAAGCAGCTAAAAGGAATTCCTATTATTCTTCACACATGTGCTTTTCCTACTGCGACGTGCACATGCCTTTTTTTGGCAAAGGCCAACCAGTGTAAAGATGCTTCTTGCCAGTGGTGGAAAAACCTTGTTTAAGTAAAAGTACAAACTAAATGTACTTAAATGTAAAAGCAGTGATGATGCACCAGAATGGCCCTCATGAAAATTCATATTACACAATTGTATTATTATTACTGGTGGATTGAAAGGAGAAAAAGTGATTCTGTAGAAGGATTGTTGATGTTTGAACTCAACTGCCAAACTGATAAAACTCGTCCTTTCAGAGCTACCTCAGAAGCTCCGCCCCCCCAAATTTCATATCTCTAAGTTTCCTCCAGAGTTGGAACTCCTTCGCCCTTGCTTGGTCATATAACTGTCTTCTCGGATTATACTCTTCAGGCCTTTTTCTCTTTGGCTGTTTCTTCACAGTGCCTGGAGTCCAGCATGTTCGAAAGTGCCAGTGTATAGAACTCTCTCTCCCACTGCCCCCATCACTCTTGTGCAGAGCACTAACACCACCTGCTGCTGATTGGCTGGGACAATGTTGTGTGGCAAGGTCCACACCACTTTCACTCTTTATTTTCTATTCAGAGCCAGGGCTGTGTAGGAAAACCAGATTTCTTTTCAGAGCACACACCAAGCGGAGAGCTAGCAAACTGTGAAGAAATATTCACTAAATTCAACAGAAAGTGCATTGGATTACAATCGCTTACTGTCCCTTTAATGTGTAAGCATCTTTCTCATGTTATTGCTGAAGGAGGTGAAGCAACTATAACTTCAGTTTAATAGCCTAACATGATTTATATTCCATACAGTGATCATGTTTTTTATATAAAAGCTAAATCTGCAAAATAACTAGTAAATCTAAGTCTAAGTAGTGCAGTAAAGAAAAAATGTAGAAGAATCGAGTAGCATGAAACTTAAATACTCTAGAAAATGACCTAAAATGAAAACTACCTAAAAACTATACTTAAGAACAGTACTTCAACAGTACTTGTTACATCCCACTAATGCTACTCACCCAGGTATTTGGGGTTCTGCCATGACGGTTGTGTTGTGTAGTCAAATGGAGCCAACAAGCTGTTAATGTCATGAACCCTAGAGACAAACACACACACACACACACACACACACACACACATTTGTAATTAACTTTATCTTTGGAGCAAATTTTCAAGGCTTATCTGGCGTCACTGTGTGTTGCTGCAGCAGGTCTCAGGTCTTGTGTTTGTGTACCTGAGCACTCCAATGCAGAGACTAACCACGATGTAGTACAGCGAGTAGAAGCACACCATGCACATTAACAGATTCTGCAGGACGACCTGAGGAGAAGACAAAGCTATTAACATTATACCTGCAGACCAATCATGCCCTGTGGGTGTGAGGGTTTTAATTTGAGGGAGAGAGTGAGAAACAGCATTGCATCTGTAATTTCAGTTTGTGATATTGATTAATACTTGATCTATATCCTACTACTGTATGTACTATTCCTGCCAGCATGTTTACATGAATTGTATGAAATTACATCCCTGGGCAAGGTTAAACACCCAAATCAATTACATATATGAGAGCCATTAATCAATGAGTGGATTGAATTCTATGTTTTCTGGCTTTTGAAACGTCTTCCATCGACCATCTGAGGATGTTTGCTTCAATAAACAAGGTTTTAACAAAAAAAAAGACTATAAATACCAAGAAAACCTTTGTCAGTGATTTTAATCTGACTAGAAAACTCTACATGTGGGGGTATTTAAAGGAGTCATCACTATTTAATGCCATCTGTGTGTCCCAAAGCTAACAGAAAATCCCTCTTCCTCTGCTTCATGACCTAGAAAACTAACTAACGCTCATGACAGCAGATAGCAGTTGCTGCTTGCTTGCTAAAGTCTCCTTTCGTAGATGAGTAACTGCAGCCGTTACAGGAAATGGGTTACACGACACCCTCGGGAGGAGAGATAAAAGACAGTTTCTCACAGCTGACATTTCAACTAGTCAAACACCTGTGTAACTAATTACGTTAATAACGGGCTGCATTCCAGTCAGTTGTGCCGGTGCCAGGGCCCTGCATGTTGGCTGGCTGGCTTGTTTGCTCACCTTAATGGAATAGAGCCATCGGTAGTTCCACATGTGCTTTTCCTGCTGTGACAGGCCACACGGCTACTTTCACTACACTGTCTGTTAAAAGGAATATAAATCTATTACACTGGAGTAATTTGGTTGTGTGTTTACTGGTTTCACTGACTGGTGATGTCCTGACGCTTTGGTTATGACCAAATAACGTTACTTGCAAAACTATCAGCACCCATCAGCCTTTAAATTAGCTTTGTATGTCGCGCTAATTAGCAGACGTTATCATGCTAACACACTAAACCAGTGGTTCTCAAACTTTTTGTGTCATGCCCCCCATCAGAAGCCAAGAAAAGTTAAATTCTTATCAATCATTAACTACATTGGGGGAGTGCTAGCATATTAAAAAAAGGAGACCAGTTGCATTTGATTGAAATAAATTAAATTTTTTCAGGGGGCGGGGGAGTTGAAAGTAATGTAATCACCCACATTTAATTTTATTTTGGCCCACTTAAACCATGTGTAATGCAGTCTCTTCCTGTCAGATAGCCATGAGGATGGGGGTGTGTTTCTAAAGCAGGAAAGTGGCTGAGCTTATGCTAATACCCTCAGAGACAGCTAAACACCTTGGCTAGCTCCCAGTTTGTTCGTCACCTCCAGACTAGATTGCACTTTTTAAAAACAGCTCTAGAAACCAGCTCTGAGACTTTTACCTCAACCCTAAAGCCCAGTGAGTTTTGGTTAGTTACTCAAAAGCATGCTTGAAAAGGGCAAACAAGAGTCTAATTGTGACATCAGGATGTAAACTACTCAGTTAAATGTTGATTGTCTCTATAATGAGGATGGCATAATTCAAATGACATTCAACCAATTGGAATAAATTTTCTGTTAAACTGCATGTATGAGATAAAGTAATGGTCGAGTTTATATCACACTCTTTATTGTGCCAACAATAAAGCTGGAATGAAACAGACTTGATTAAGTACCAATTAGCTCTATTAGACATATTTGTAAACACTCCAGAGTCACTTCACAGTCCTTAACTTGCTATTCTAGCACACTTTCCCACATCATACGAGTCCTTACCCAGGTGTCACTGGGTGTAGTCTTGAGGGAGAAGGGTCCATGGCGCTTTATGAGTGTGAATCCACAACAACGACAGCAGTAGTCCAACAACATGAATGGCTGCTGGTCTAAATGGGAGAATGTAGGCTACATGTAAGTATTTGTGTGAGAGAGCATGGGGCGGGGTGGGGTGAGTAGTGGTGTGATGGGTGGGGTGGATTAGAAGGAATGGGATTACTACTAAGAAGTCTGAGTAAATCCCCAAAAGCATAATGGTGAACATACTCTAGTATAGGTGTGCACACATAAACAAGACCCAAAAGAAGGAAGCTGCAGACACCAATTCTTATTTGGGATTGTAGTGGAGCCATATGTAGTGTTATTTTGTTTTATTTTACTTACCTTCAGGTCTGCCTCGCTTCCCTTTCTCTGTGTTTTTGTCCGTTCTTGCCTTCCTTCTACTCATTCCTTTTTCCCCCTTCCCTTACTTTGTTTCTACCTAAATGTCTTTCTACCATCCTCTTACTTCTTTTACCTTCTTTCAGCTACCCCGTTGTGTCCATCTTGTCTTTCTTCCTCCCTTCACTCCCTTCACACACATTTTCCTTCCACCCCTCCTTTACTGTTTCTCCTACTTCAAAATAAAAGAATGAAGCAGGAGAAGAACATGGGGTATGAAGCAGAGCTGAAACAATTGATTGACTAGCAACTATTTTGATATTGGTTGACCATTTGAGCCATGTTTTGGGCAACAATGCCAAACATTTGCTGGTTTTCTTTGTTATATTAGATAGTGGACTACATATCTTTAGGTTTATAAACTGTCAATATGTCACCTTAGAGTCTATGAAACTATGATCTGCATCTTTCACTATTTAACATTTTATAGACAAAACAATTAATTGCTCATTAATAAAATTGCCAGATTAGTCATTGAATAAATGAAAATAACTGTTAGTTACAGTCCTAGTATGATGATATTTTTCACACTGACAATAAACAACTAAACATGACCTTTAAATGTATTTTGAAGTGTGAATCTTGCCTGGTTGATCCTGGAAGTCCAGCTAATGACAAATCTGCATCAAAACATTAAAAGAGACATGGTCACAATCTTGTCTGGCAGTTCTTAACATGAACACTAAGTGGTAGCGTAGCCTCACACGCACAGAGAGAACAGCCAGTGAAGAAACAACACAACAAGAGATGATGTGAAACACATGCACGGGAATAGCAGCAGATAAGATGTTTCTTGATGCATCATTCATAGGTATAAATTTCTTATTATGGCTCCATGTTTTATTTAACTTTTGAGATTTTGAATGGAAACAGATCGGCGAGGGGAAATCTGTTTATCCATCCAAAGACAGGATAAGAAAGAAAAGAGGTAGAGGTGAATGTAAAAATGAGATGAAGGAACAGCCCCCGTCTACCACCAGAAATAGCTGAAGAAACACTATATTCAACTCCTCTGCGTCACAGCCCGCGTATGTCTGTCTGTCTGTCTGTGTGTGAGTGTGTGTGTTTGGTGAAGCACATGCACGTGCGCCTTTGTGTGAGTGTGGGGGTTTACTTGGCTGCTACGGTAACCTGCATCATTGTAACCATAGTGATGGAGAGCAGGGGGGGTGGGGGCATTTAGAGCACTGTGTGTGTGTGTGTTAATACTTTAAAGCTCACTAATCATTCAGATCACCAATCATACCTTTTTTATATTTGTAGATGTTGCATGTATGATTCATTTTGACTATCCTGCAACGTTTTTTCACTTTTTAGCCTATGGTGTCGTTCATTGCTCTGTGTAACTGCAGTGATACACAGTCATAAATAAGCTTGCACAGGAATATTTAGCTTTCTTGCTTTGTCTTTGGAGCAACTTTTCAAGGCTTATGACGTGTGTGCAGCAGGTCTTATGTATGTGTACCTGATCACTCAAATGCAGAGACTGACCACGATGTAGTACAGCGACTAGAAGCCCCCCCAAGAACAGCTGGGACTGGTACTTTAGAAACAATGATGCAGCCGCTTGCGCTCGGCTCTCTGATTGGGTCTCATAAGTCATGCAAAGCAGAAACACGATGCTACTGACCGGGTTTTTGTCATAGTATTTTTATTAAAATATTCTGTACAGTGCAAATATCACTTATCTGCCTACACTTGTATTGTGCATGCCGTTTACTTTGCGACGACTCCCAGTCTGTTTTCCCGCCGCCACACTCCGGTGTTACATTCAGTAACAGTCAGCTCATTATTGGTGCATGCAAAAAGAAAATCTGGTCTGATTCTTCGTCCGTATTTATTTATTATTTCACTAAATCGTAACTACATAATAGACCATCTGCTTCATGTTTACACCGGCACGCGCATGCCCAGTGTACGTGAATGGCCAGTAGATGTGCGTTGTAATGCCAAGGTGGTGAGAAACTTGGGTGTCATGATTGATGACCAGCTGTCCTTTTCAGACCATGTTGCTACTGTCTCTCGGTCATGCCGCTTTTCTCTATACAACATAAGGAAAATCAGGCCCTGCCTCACGCCACCCAGCTTCTAGTACAGGCCATGGTTATCTCTTGCCTTGACTATTGCAATGCCCTCCTAGCAGGTCTCCCAGTTTGTGCAGTGAAACCCTTACAAATGGTTCAGAACGCAACAGCGTGTCTGGTTTTTGATCAGCCTAAAAGGACTCGTCACTCCATTACTCAGTGACCTCCACTGGCTCCCCGTGGCCTCCAGAATCAAATCACTAATCAAGTCACTAATGCTTGCATACAGATTGACTACTGGGTCTGCACACATCTACCTAAACTCCATAATACAAACTTACGTTCCTTCTCGCCCGCTACGCTCCTCCAACGAACACCGCCTGGCTCTGCCATCACTTCACACAAAGCAATCCCAATCTGTGACACCACGATGGTGGAACGAGCTACCACACGCCATCAGAGCAGGGGCGTCCCTCTCTAACTTCAAGAAGCTCTTGAAAACTCATCTCTTCCGAGAACACTTCCTCTTACAACACCTCTAACTCCTAACCTCTAACATGCACTTCCTGTGCTCTTCTTCTTCTATCCCCTACAATGATCTTGTATTGATTGCACTTTTTGTTTTGATTGCACTTTTTGCTAACTCTTACTTCCTTCCCTAGGTATCGACCCCATTGATGTGATATGTACTGTGAGCTCTTACTAGTATTTATTGCTGCTAGTATGTATTGTCAGTTGTAGATCTGTAGTTGATGCTCTGTTGATGCTTGTATGTTGTTCCTCAAATGTAAGTCGCTTTGGATAAAAGCGTCTGCCAAATGAGTAAATGTAAATGTAATGTAGTCGGGGATCACCTCTGATACGTAGCTAAAACGCTGGTGTGGACGAAATTGTATTTGTTTTAATTCTCCGTTTGTAAACTAAGTAGAGTAGTGTGGATGGGGCCTTTGAGGTGCTGGTAGGTGGATTTTGGCAGCCGAGCTGTTTCCCCCTGTTTCTAATCTTGATTTTAAGCTAAGCTAACTGGCTTTCTGTGTTGTTTAACATGCAGGTACTGTATTGTGTGTGTAATTTTTCTTTGATGACATTCATAAAGTCTCATCAGGTCAGTGAACTAAATTTGACCATAAAAAACCAACACATTATCACCAACTAAATCTTGGTTTCAGCCCAACACAGCTTCAGCGGCGGCGAAATAACAAGAACAGTGAAACGTTTGAAGCTGAAAAGCATTTAAGATGGTTTTGATTTCAAAGCATGTGAATTATTAAGCCCATACTTAACCTCAAATGACAAACAACAGGCATTTCTTTCAAGGCGCACAGTGAAGATAAAACAAACTATAATTCTGGTAGCCTGTTTTTTTTTTTCAGCATGAAGTATGTTCCAGACCTGATATGAGTATGAAAAAAGGGGACTGGTGGAGACAATTCACACACAGAGACCTCCTGTATCTAGACAGAGTGTTTACACCACACAGGTGAGTTTAAACAATCTGTGTTGTATCCACAGAAGCAGAGAAATGAACGCACTGTTTTGTCCTCTGTTCTCCTGAGTTTTTAAGTTCGTTAAAAATCAATTCAACACGCAGAGCAGGGGAGAGCTACTGAGAACACCGAGGCTCATTGACCTACATGACAGCATGTCGGGGCAGAGGGGCCGTAATTATCATACAGTGTGTGTATGAGTGTGTGGTACAGATTTTGACGTCACACAAACACATAAAAATAGGCTCGGAAGGACAGAGAGGAAGGGGTTTACATGAAAAGTGGGAAAAAGAAAGACAGAAAGAAAAAAACTAAGAACAGGATTTTTGGTATATTTGGTTCCAGCTTCCCAAATGCGAGGATTTGCTGCTTCTCTCAATTTTATGCCATTGCAAAATTAATCTCTCTTTGGTTTTGAAGTGTTGGTCAGACAAAACAAGATCTGAATACGTCCCCTTAGGTTTCTCGGATACTGTGATGGCCATTTTAAAACATGTGCAGGCAATTACCCAATCACTGAGCCTCAAACAACCCTTGTGTGTCTGCTGTTGGCTGTCACCGGTCCCCCTACCTGTCAATCATACATGAGATACTCATTTGAGATATTCTCATTTCAAATAATAAAATGCTCTACTTTTCTCTCCTCGCCCCTCTCGCCTTTTCAACCCCTACTCCTCCCTCTTTCCCCTTGCCTCCTCATGTCCTCTTTTCCCCCCATTCCCTCTCCTCTCTGTATAATCCTTTTCTGTCCAAAAATCGTCTCTTCTCCGACTCCCGTCCACAGCTGCTTACAATAACGTGAAAAAAAAAGTTAACACATTTTGTAACTCCCATAACTCCAAGTGGGCTTGTAAACAAGAAATGTAACAGTCAACAATGTAAGGCTTTGTCCCCCCCCCTCCTTTTTCTTCCACACTCTTTTCCACCATCGGTTCTCGCTGTCTCTGTCCTGTTCTGGTGCTCGCAGTCCCTCTACAGCATGTTTTCATTTCAATCTCCTATGGAATGTAAATACAGCAATTGACTGTTCATGGCACCAGGGGTATGAGCCTCAACTAGCGGGTTTTATAAGTTTGAGAGCAGGCATTGGGGTTTGTGTGTTTGTACAATGAGAGTTAAGGTTGGGGTTAAGGTCAAGGATGTCATGGTCAGGTTTGAGGTCAAGGAAGGCCCTGAGGATGTACAAAATGCCCTAATGATTGTGTACAAATGTGTAGTAAGTGTACATTACACAAGTGTACATGTTCAGTTGTACCAATCTGCTCTCTTTTCTTAGCCATGTGAACAAATAAGTCTCTCTCTCTCTCTCTCTCTCTCTCTCTCTCTCTCTCTCTCTCACACACTTAAAGCTTATTGTTTAAAATATCTGCCCAAGCCTCTGTGTTACATTCTCCTCACCTCGCCCCAGCTGGTGTATTTTCACTGAATCACTTCCAGCATGTAAATACAGGAAATGTCACGCATGCCAACATCTGCAATATTTTTGCTGCCCTCACTTTCTGTGTGTGTGTGTGTGTGTGTGTGCGTGTGTGTGCGTGCGTGTGTTTGAAGACAGAAAAGCTGAAAACACACAGACTCCTAACTTCTTCTCCTAACTAACTTCAGGGAATTTGTTGTATCTTACATGAACACACAAGGAGTCACACATGCCAGTATTACAGCTGTCACACTTTAAAACACTTTCCCACATTGGATTTGTTGCTGCAGGAATGTTGTATCTCCTGAGCCCAGTCCTGCTGCTTGTTGTGTGTGCGCTCTTGTTGATCCATATCTCTCCTTGAGCATCACTAAGGCTTCTCCCTCTGTATTTTCTTGTCTGCGCCTTGCAAATGCAAGAAAAGCATGGCAAAGCGCCTTGTTTCCCTCCATAAACACGCACACAAACTCTCCATAAAGGCGCACATGCATATATCTTCCCAGTAGTTCACCCCCATCTTTCTCTCTCTCTCTCTCTCACCCCTTCTCTCAGATTCACATACACACACCTCAGTGAAAGCCTCTCACATTCCCACAAGCGTAGACGCGCTTTGGAGGAACTGGATGGAGCTGCCTCGTCTCTCTCCGCATCAGAGGACTAAAAGCACGCTTTTACTCTCCGCTTTACCCTGCTCGACGCTTTTTTTTAAAATGTAACAACTTGCGGCTGAGATTTTCTAACAAGAGTTGTATTTTTTTTCAAAGATTACATCAAGTTTTTGGACGCAAATATCGGGAAATCGAGTTTTACGCATTACAGCCAAGAAGGACCTCACATCAGCCGCTTTTGTCTTTCCCCCAATGAAACAAGGAGTATTTTTCCAGCTGAGGAATTACAACCTGAGCGTTTACGACTTTAAATAGGCGGAATGTGTTGAAGGATTTTCCTGCAGTCGTAAAAAGGAGCGTGTTTCGCCGCCCTCATTGTTCTGAGCGCGCGTTCTCTCCATATGGCGTAAAAACGTGTTCCGCGCCGAAGAAAGTCGTCAAGCAGACACGTCGAAAGCTCGCAAACCCAACTTGACACGGGCAAACTGTAATAATGGCGTTGCCTGGTCCCCATTAAAGACCTTGCATGTGAGTAAAGACCGTGCTGCTGTTTTCCAGACCCTGCAGGGAGCTTTAACTGTCTCCTGTAATCTACATTTTCTCCGGAATTGCTTTTCATTGGAAGTAGCCTTCAAAGTAGAAGATGGCTTTTTACTTCCCACCAGTTTACAGCCTAATCCCCCTCCTTGCCTAATGGCACAGTGACCGTGAAAACTCGGCTTTTTGCAAAGGTAAGAACTGAGCTGTATTTGACCTTTCCAACTCTTAAGCAATTTAAGTTCACAGCGCCACCATCTATGTTTTTATTTACATCCATATTTAATGACGTTGTGTTTAATAGTTGATGAGTACATGGAAGCTACATCTATCTGCCATCTTCCTACTGTAACTAATGGTGATCATCTGACAGGATAAGCTTGCTATTTGTCTAAGATAGTCCAGCATAGTGTAAGTTGCTGTTGTGTGTGTCTGTGTTTTATTTATTGATCGATTTACTGAGGAGTGAAAAACATGATCTCTTCTAAGTAGCCTAACAAGATGTCAGATTGTCAGTATCCATGCATTCAAAGAACGGACAAAGGTCATCATCAAAGGGTCAGTGGTCTTTTTCAATGAACCGTCAGTTATAACCCTGCAAACAATTTTCAAAGATCCCCTCCAGACATACACATTACCCTGGTTAGAATATTACTTTGTTTCTGACGTTTTTTCTGCATAAAAAGTAAATAAGTGAACAGATGCTCTGCCACTGGTTTTATTGTCTTCATTGTGGTTTAAATGAGGCCTAGGAGTAACTGTCACCTTGAGAGCTGTTTGAAGAACTAGGGTAACTCACTGTGCTAAATGGCTCATTGTGAGACATCTCGTTGCCAAACATTTTACGCAGAAATGCATCTGAGTTTAATTTGAGAGTCATTAAGAAGTCAGGCGACATAAAGCTCTCCACAAACTGGATAATCCTGTTTAAATACCCCCACATCAGCGGTTCTTTCACTTTGCAGCTCCCAAGACTCCCATAGAGAGATGTGCAAGCCCACAAACCACCACCTGATAATACGATGTTCATCCAGTAGACCCCCATCTGAGAAAATTTTCTGGTTTATCTGATTATCATTTCCACTGAGAATGTTTTAAAGGCCAAATTAAATTAGTTTATGGAAAACAAAGCATGGAAGTGATTTGTAATAGTGGTATTAAATTTCAAGGGTTGACCCAGAATGGTCGAAGATTCAATGCTTCGATGGGCAGAGCCTGATTCGACTGTCAATCTTACAGACGAAGCTTCGTGGCGAAACAAGAATCATGACATTTTGGCGATATGGGTGTGTTCAACTTCTGATTTTACATAGAACTACCAGTTTTCCCCCAAAAAGTTAATATACAGCCTATTACAATATACATTTCAACATTTAATGCTGTAAATAAACATGTAAAAAGAATAAAACTTTCAATAAATGTCTTTAAAGTACATAAATAAATAATTGTAACCCTAACCTGGCTGAGTTGTTCGCTCCTCGCGGGACTTTCGGATCATTTATCACCGTTGATGAACCACATGATTCGACTATCAGTCGACTACAGGCAGGACTTGACGATTCTGATTCGACTATGTAAATCCTTAGTCGGGGACAACCCTATGAATTTCTTAAGCTGTGGAGAGTGGGCCTCTAGAATCCAAATATGGACCCTTACAAACCGTGGTCCTCAAACCGGACTCCGGTTTGGGGACCATTGCTGCAGGGCAGTTTGGGACAGCTCGTTCCTCAGGATAAGTGTGGGTGACTGATCGAAAACTGGGATTGTGAGGAAGACAGAGAGAGTCATTTTGCTGGAATCAACAGCTGGAACCAACACACACACACACACACACACACACACACACACACACACACACACACACACATCTGGCATGAGTATCTGATGATTCAATTCAAAACGTAATTCAACTGAGTAAAAGCTGAATTGATCACGAAAGGATACTAATGCAGTGTGAAGGATGCAAGATTTAAAAAAAGCACAGTATGTATCATCAGAATAATAAGGACAGATAAAAAAAAACACAAACAAGATGGTGAAGATGGCACAGGGTTTGACACTTGCATGCTGTGCATCAGAAAATGTGCTGTTGAAAGGTTAGTGGGAAAACACAAAGTGACATATTCTCCAGACAGATGAGTCAACCTTGACCGTGAGTCTGTAGGAGTAAAGCAATGCACAAACACATGCTCGCTGTCTGTTTATCCTTTGTTCATTCTTCTTTCTCTGATACAGATTCCTCCTTTCACTCTTCCCTGCACAGCTTTCTCAGTGGCATTTTCCTCCCTTTGGCCTTATCCAATGATAGCCGCCCCCCCCCCCAGAAAAAAAGAAAAGAAGAAACACCAAATGGCATTCTGCTTCTTTAAAGAGCTTCAAGAAAGACTCAAGCAGGATACTGTATCAGGCTCATTTTGAGGAGACTCAGACTCAGATTCAATTTCCATCAATTCTGTGATTCAATTCTAATCAGTGTCACAATAGACAATAAGACGTTGAACATTGTGAACCAACTCTACAGTGGAAAATGTGATAGCTGCAAGTTTAAAATAAATTTGGTTCAGTCCAAGCTGGTGGTTCCACCTCAGGGTTCGTGTCCTTGTCGCTAGCTACTCTTACTGGCTGGTCAGGGTGCCGGGAGGTAGGGGACAAAAAGCAACACAGTCAGCTGGTGTTAGCTGTGGGGTGCTTCTCTGCGGCCGACTCTGACCTCTCTGGAAAAACCCGAGAATTCGACCTCAGGGATCAACAAAGATCTGTTCCTGCTGTAAGGCCCATCATGCCCCGTAATACATGTCACAGCTTTGTGTCATAGGTCATCTCATCTCTCTGTTTTACCTTTCCTGTCACATACTGCCGGGTGAAGGAGAAAATCATACTCCCTATTAAAACCGCTGTTTAATGTCTTCTGGTGAAGATTATTCCTCACAGGAAACAGTCTATTTTTGTCCGAGTCATGTCATCATTGTGTAGTAAAGTAATTACAGATGGGTGAGTTTTGAATACTCCTTCATGTTAGTGTGTTTATGGACGCTTTGGACATCCGACATCCAAGACGTTATCTTGTTTGAAAAAAATAAAACCCAGTAGGCAAAAAACCCCCACTGTAAATAGGATCATGTGAAGTTCTTCCACTAGGCTGATGGTTTTGAGGTTTTTAGAAGGGTCGTGCTGTAGATTTCATTTCCTTCCTTAGTCAGTTTGTCCAGTAAACTATCCTATATTATACATTATACTGTACTATACTGTATACTATACTATAATATATTATACCATATTATATGGTACCATATTGTAATATATTATATATACCATTTTTTTGACCTAACATGTAGTGGCAAGTATGGCAGCTGTCCCACTGAATAAGTTAGGCAGATTTTACTTTAACAACAACAACAACATAAATGTCAAACATAAAATAAAGTCATACCTAATAAAATCAACCCATGCACACGCTCTTTTCAACAAACCTGAACTCTGTTTGTAATGTGCTTGACAGCAGTGTAGGTGTACTCTGAAATGAAGCACTTAAGTGTGACCTGGGCATTAAAACACTCAACAGTCTCTTTATTTCAGTATTTCAAGGTACAAGCATTATCAAGAACAGACTGTACAATGATCAAATATTGTTCACTGCATATTTGCCCTTGACTCATGCAGGTCATTTCTTTGGTCATTTCCATCAGTCTTTGCAAGAGAACAAACAGTAAACTGCCTTTTGATATTCTGCACATTAGCCAAAACTTAAATATTTGGCACACTGGAGAGACAGTTCTTACTATGTTTTGAGGGCAGTCTTCCATGTTTGACTCCCAGCTCTGTGACATTATGGCAACTGACCTTGAAGTTACGGTGAGTGATGAGGAGAAATCCAACACCATGACAAATACCATGTTATAGAGTGAATGATGTCGCTAAGTTGTGGGATAGCGAACTGCCGTTACAGTTGCTGCTGCGAAGCTAACATGCAGAGAGGAGGAGATGGTCCCAGAGGCAGCACACCGGCTCCTGATAGCAATACTTACAGCTCTCCTGTTACTATAGCTAACATCACAACAACAGCAAGTCTTTGTGAACTAAAAAGTAAGCTGGATGTCCTTGGGCAAGCCATTTAACGTTACCCGACACACAAAAACATGGCTGGATTAGTTTTGTGTGGCTCGGTCTGAGACACTTTGTTTTCTATTTACAGAGACAGGACTATGACATATAAGGTATAAGGGCCATTGTATATGTAAAAAAAAAAAACACATTCACAGAGTCGGGAGAGGGGGTTAATATTATGGGGAAAAAACTCTGATTAAAGTAAATTTACAAGAAACAAACCCAAATTTTGATGAAAAAAACTTGTACAAACTATTTTTCAGATGTGCTTGTTGATAATAACAATAATGTTAATAACCACAGCCGCCACACCCCTCATCCTATTAACCTTACCAGAGCAGTTTATGACCCAGAAACACATTAGCCATTGTAACTGTAATGGGAGAAATAATGGATGCTAATTTTTCTCTCTTTACCACGATCCATTTTTATCCTCCTGCTCATTCCTCCTTCATTACATCTCTCTTTGCTGCTTTCCTTCTTACTCTATTTGTGTCCACATTAGATGCCTTTCTCCATGACGTGTTAGCATACAGTTCAGTGAAGTGAGTCATTTGAGACAAACTTTTTTCAGCATGCCTCTAGAGTCAAAAAAGTCAAAGCACCTTCTCTAGTCTCTTTCACCCTGTCTCCCCCCTCTGGCTAAGTTCCTCCAGTCCTGATTTCTAGCATTTACTTTGCCCTCTACCTTACTTCACCTCTTTTTATCTTTCTATCCCACCTGTCCTGTTCTTTTTCCTCTTCCACACTCTCATGTGTGGAATTTAGAGAGGATTGTACAGCTTCAAGCACAGATCGCATGAACAAGATGTAATTAACACCCCGATGCTGACGTGTAAATGTTGAGTGCAAAAGAATTCAGGTCTTTTTTCTTTGCAAACACCTTTCATGCCAAACTCTCTCTTCATCCCTGGTGTCTCCCTTTCACTGTCTCCTCTTCTCATTTCTTGCCAATTGCCCGTCTTCATCCATGTCTCTATCCATTCCCTCCCAATTCTACGACTCCTTTCCTCCCCTATCACACCTCCTTCAAATTGATGGAGAGGTGCAGTGAAATCAGTCCAAACCATGTGGTGTTACATAAACGTTT